CTCAACGTTATAAAATAACTTTTGTTTCGTAAATATTAATTCACGGTTAGATATTCTCCGAAACTTTATTGTTCAATCATAAATATGTCAGAAGACTAGATCAAATTTTCAAAGGTGAAATAAAATAAAATTTACAATCCGAAAATTCTAAAAAATTCTAAAAAATTCTAAAAAATTGTAAATTTAAATGTAAATAAAACTACATATGTATATATAAATTTAAATAATAAGCAAATAATATCTCAGTAAGAATTTTGTAATAAATACTTGAATGTTTTTAAATTTGTTAGTTCTTAGATGTACATATTTTAATAAGATGTACATATTTTACGCGAATAAATTTTCATAATTCATGGAAAGTCCAGTTTTTTCTATCGACACACGTTAAATAGTTTGCATATTAACCGTATTCAGTACGTAACGAAGTATCAAAGTCAAGGTAAAATTAATTTGAAGACTTATGATTGTATCAATCATTGCCATCATTTCAAAATTTGAGAGATCTGTATTGATAACGAGTATTTACTTCTTAATGCCCTCTTTTTGTACACAATTTAATCCATAAGGATCCAAGATAATTAGCTTCTGATCATCTTATCAATAGATAATTCGTTTTAATCAAAATGAAATTTTGGTGAAAATAGCTTTTACACGAGATTGTTACAAAACAGTTTTAACGATGAAACATTCGAATCATTAGTCACACAATTCTCATTGTTCTACAGGTAGTTGGTATTATTAAAGGGACAAAGTTTTGGCACTGATGCAACGAAATCTTGGAATTGGTTCCGAAAGTCTGAATAGTAATAATCTCCTAGTAGGTTAATAAATTTCCGTTTTGTACTCAAATTTGTTGAACGTATAATTTCGTGCCACACGTGATAGTCCAATAATTATCACATGACAGAGAGAGATCAAATAATAAAAATATCTCAATGGCGAAAAAAGAAAAATAATATTTTCCAAGGAAACTCAGTTTTTCCTCAAGCACGTAAAAATGTATCCTCATTACAGAACTGCATTGTATATTAGACACGATTACACAATGCTTTGCAATTGAAAACGAGTATTTCATGCACCAAGGCGCAGCACAATGATTATAATAAGCCACGTAGCAGAGTACGCAATTATTCGTAGGTAAATACTTAATTATTTAAAACGATAATTTTATCAAACGTCGAAGATACATAAAAAAATGTGCACAAGTTTTGTTTTTTTAATCTACTAATGCATTTTCATAAAATAATCATGAGTTTCTTCTACTTTCAATTAATTATGCAGTTACGTGATACTAACGAAAACACGTGAACATTTACAAGAAATATTTAAACCATGAGGCTTCTTCTTTTATGTATTAAATAAAATCCTTCAAGATGCATGACGAATGAAACATTTGAATTTACTAAAAATTTATTAAAAATTTGAATTTATTGTCGATGCGTCAAACAAGAAACAACTCTGATGTGAATTTCGATGAACAAAATATTTACGAACGTGAAAACTGATAAGCTGAAATATTCGAAATTTTTCAACAATGCATTATGTACGTATATAATGATTTTCGATTGCAATCGAAAACATATAATATTGGAAAACAAAATTTTATACTGAAATATACGTACCTATAAAACGATGAAAACATTGAAAAATAAATCATAAATATACAAATTTGATGGATTTTCTTGAATTTCGAAAAAGCAGAAACTATTCAGTTTTCATATTGTTATCACATTTAAATGATATTTAATGAATAATCTCAAACTAAATGCAACTTGCTTTTAGTAGGTTTCACTTATAAGACGAGTAGTATCATTATTTCAAATATTAACTATGAGAACCGTGTTATATTACCCACATGATTTCACTCGGTTCATAGAAATATTTTGTTGATACGTAAAAATAGTTACATAATGCTGTTAGACTGAGAATCATAGCTATGACGACGTAAAACAGGCCTGCTGTTATTTATTTCATAAAATGATGTTTTAAGCGTATTTCTATAAAAATAATTTCTATAAAGAAAAAAATATATTTTTCAGTTATGGAAACATATGATAGTAGAAAATGGAGCACAGTTTTGTTAACTGTAAAATTAAACAACTGATAACTTCAGCAATTAAAGAACGTGATTAATTCAAATTTTTGAAATCCTTGCTGTGCGAAAGGCCAAACACAAAATAATTCAAAAGCACAAAGATAGTTAAGTCTTTACTACTAATATTAATTTTAAAAATATATATTTATAATTCTGTTATCATATATGATATCATCATACACGAGAATGATGACTTATTCACAGAGTCTACATATAAAATTACGTGGAATAAACTGAATCAGCAAAGATTAATTGTACGAAGAAAGATGCTAAACTTCGTTTAGCTTTTAAACTAGAATAGTGCATCTTCATGGAAGTCGTAATAACTTTATTTAATATTACATCGTTTAAAGCTTTGTTTTTCAAGAGCATAATTCACGCACGACGCTTATCATTACCATGTTGTCTTCCAAATGATTGCAACGATTTGATTTTCTTTATTTTTGAATGAAAAGCACATAGCCGTGTCGAAAGCGTAATAATTATATAATATCAGTAATCAATAAATCAACAACTTTTGCTTCTATTATAGTCTCGTTATTTTTAATGCATACATGGAAAATATAGAAAATTGTAATTTTAAAATTATTCCTGAGGAAATAAATGAGAAGTAAAATTGGAATAATATATTAGATACAAACAAAATAAATATAAAATATATAAATTTATGATAGAAAATAAGAAATGAATGTAGAGATTAGTACAAAAAAGGGCAGTGACTTTAAATGTAAATTTCTATTCTTTAAGAGGAACGACAATGCTTAGTCCCTATGTTTTGATATTTTAACATTTAATAAATTTCCAGCGTGCGCAAGTAGACACAGTCAGATTCATTCCAAGTTGCGTAATCTTAATTTGCATATTTTAATAAAAAAAAAAAAAAAATACGATGCTGTCCTGTGTAATTTCTGAGATCCGCGTATCATTATTGACACTGTCGTTTAAAAATAAATGTAGGTAATCCTTGTTCTGTCGATTCTTGAAGAACTTTCAGTTAGAAGATAAAAATGACGCGTTAAAGGAGATTGGAAAACTTTTGGTGTTGGCAGATATTTCGAAAATTGTCGAGAGGCAACATTCGAAAAGTTTAAAGTGGGAAGAAAAAGAAAAAAGCATAAATTCTGCAAAAACTCCGATTCAAAGACGATGAATAATGATTTTTCTGCTTAATTGCAGAGATTTTCTACTGTGAAAAACAGGGTTAAGGGGGAAAAAATAGAGCAAGTAGTACGTAGATGAAACTACTTTTGTTCTACTGCAATTCGAGAACACAGAGAGGGCACAGTATTCAGAAAGTGAGGAAGCATAAATTATGCAAAAAAATTACCGATTCCAGGCATTCCAATATTAATAAAAAGAAATCGATCATAGTTAACTAGTTTATTCCAATAAATGTAAGCGGAATTTCAAAATATCTATATTGCTCAAAGTAATTGGTACACACTAGTTTCAAGAAATAATACAATATTTTTTTAAAGACCGATTTAAACTGAACTTTACACTACGTGAATATTCATTCGTCAAGATAGTAATTTCGGATTTTAAATATTGAAATTGTTTTGAATCTGATTCAGAAATGCCTCGTTATTTTACAGTCATCTCTGACGCAAAATAATTATTTTTTGAGTAATGCAGTTAATGATTCTAACGCACCTTATAAATATGATTGATAAAATAAACATTGGAAAATGTAAGTACGTAGGAATCTTTCATTTCCATTTGACTGCAATATCTATAATACATTTCACATGAATATGTAATTAAAGCCATGAATCTTAATTTCTTTTCAAGTTTTATCAATTGAACTTTAAACAAAGACTACATCTTAAATTAAATTTTTTTCTTAAATTTAAAAGTGAAACGAGTTGCAGTGCTAATAAACTGTCGTAAAAAATTAATTGTATCATTTATCTGAGACGAGTGTGCTCCAAAGTTTCTCCGTGTGATGTCGCGAATAATTCATAGCACACATTTTAAAACTTTCTTGTCAAAATACAGCTGGTGAATGTTGATATTTGAATCAATGAAACTCGTATGTCTTACACATGTGCGTATGTATGTACTTTGATACTTCGTTGCTTATAATTAAGGAAATTCTTACACGTGCGTATAATCTGACTTTGTATCTGGAATTTCTTTACTTATGCGTATAATGAATTTCAGTTTAATCATTATTATAATTCAGCTAGATTAACGGTACATTAATCAGTAGAATTGTGTATGTGATTGATTGATTGTTAAAAAACTTCACCATCATTATTCAAATTTATTCTTATGAACAATAAGCAACAAGGTCTTGAAAAAAAGCCACTTGTAAATAGAAACACTCGTTCAAGTATGCATTATCCAAATTTGTCTAAGAAAAGAAATATTAACATTTGGCCTGCATATCTTATATGTATTTGCAACAAAAAATATTTCACTTAGCGCTTTCCTCGATATTTGTTTTGTGAGATAACCGTATCTACTAGTCAAATGTACGATTAAAATTTAATCATATAGTCGTAAAGGCAAAATAAAATTTCAAAAAATCGCCACTCTTTCTCACATCACGATCTCTTCCTCAATTAAATGATTCTTTTCATCTTAATAAGGTACGATCGCGTCATCAAGATTATCATTTAATCGTTAATATCTACCCGACAGGTTCATCCACAATGTATAAAGTTTGTCAGTTCTAAGTAGAAAGAATTTTAATGAAGCTCTTTCATGCCTTACTACTGGCATAACTTTTAGCATTGATTACCTAACATTGTTGTACTTTAAACGGTATACGAGTTATTAGGAAAGGGGGAAAAAGGAACGTGGTGAATGATTGTGCAATTTGTCGAATTATTGCTACGTGACTGTCTTATTATTGCAATGAAAAAGAAAAGGAGAAAGAAAAAACGAAAGCTGAACTCACCGCTAATCAGCGACTCAAGGTTCTCGTGACTGGGGCTCATGAAACTTTTAGGCACAGGCACGCCAACAATGAGACATTTTATAGCTAATCGCCACCTGCTGGCCTCTCGTAAATTATCTTCGTACTTGTCAAAACTGCGAAACCGTAGCGTGATCGTGGTCCTTTCTCGCCTCTTCACACCTTTCATGCGTGCCTTCTTCAACGTGTAAGCATAAATATAGAGATAGGCCGAGGTGTCAAACTCGTCGTAGCATTGATACGCTTCCGCAGACTCGACGAGCTTGAATTGAGACCTCGAAGTACCTGGCCCACAGACACAGCTTCCCGCGCTTTTGCGTTTCGAACGCATACATCTGCACCCTATTATGTCGTTTAGAACGATCGTTTCAACCTTCGTTGCACCATTATTGTCTTTCTCTAGGCTGAGACCCTTCTCCGTTAGTCTCACCTTGTAGTACGTGTTCTTCTTCGACGTAACGTAAAACGTTTCTTCAAGAAGAGTGTTAGAATGCACTTGACCACCGTCCTCCATGACACGCTGATGATTCCCTTTCATTCAGCAAGATACACCAATCACATTGATAATAGTACTATAGGCAGATCATTATCGTGGTAGTTAAGGCACATGATAAACAAACTCCGTCTCTGTTCCAGCTTGATGAAGTTCCCTCTATTGCAGACTTCCATTCCATTTAAGAAAGAGCATCGATGCCCCAAACCACTCGACGGCTTAATTTTTCGTGTTAGATCCTTTCATTCCTTCAGACATTTTTCTGTCAGTTTAATTACTCGAGCTGTCGTGTTACGAATTTAACAAAGCACGTGCAGTTTCCCGTGCAATGCATCCGTAACATTATCCCTTGGTAAGGGATACGATTTACGGAAGAGAGGAATTTAAATCGTGATCACTGTCGGGTTTTTTTCCAAACCATATATGATTAATATAAAAAAAACGTGTTATTCTGTGTTGCGATTAATAGACATTATCTCACCATTATCTCGGCTACTTCTATACTTGCGCGCATTCGAACGTTCAACTGCTTCGAACACACCGAAGTCACGGCATATACTGTTTATATATGAAACTTGGAACCTGATGGACCAATTGCTGGAACACCACAACGCTATCTTGCGTTGACAAATTGTACTTCACGGTAAACATTTTCTTGTATAGTATAGGAAAATATATTACGAGGATGAGGATTTTGTACAGTTGGAAGAAACGAGTTGTCAAGGACCTTAGAAAAACAGTTGTGAAATCCATCAATGTGTTAAATTTATATGTTTCGACAATTGAAACAGAAATTTAAAACAGAGATAGACAAGGAGCCAGAGCTTCGTTTCAGGACCGTACAATGTAAGAATTATTTCCAGTTCTGTAGCATGTTTAAAAATTTTTTACGTAACATACATGTAACAGACATATACAGAATTCGATATTTTCCATACGTTCATATAAAAATTCCATATGTTCATACAAAAGTTTCAAATGTTAATTTAGAATAAACTTTTGCAGCTTAAGATTGAAAATGTTTGATATATTCAATTCTGATTACGACTATGTCAATCGATATCGCCGCTGATTATTTTAATTTGTGGCTTTTTTATATCACTTTCACCAGCTATTGCTTATAATTTTTAATAAAAAAAGAATTTTTGACAAAATAGTTTAGATTTTCTTTATAAATACTAAAGTTTTCTACTCTGGAGTATTAGAATCGATTACATATACATACATATGCACGTATTTTCTTCATTCTTCTTATTGGATAATATAATATAATGTAGATATTGATATTTAAATATTGTATAAAGTTTAAATTAATAATTACAATTAAAATTTATAATATATAGTTTTCAAACGGTTGAATGTAGAGTTTTTAAAATTCATATTAAACTATTTTTTTGTTTTTTTATTTTGGCAATTCTGATTTGGGAAAGCCAGTGATACGTTAATACAATCAACCTAAATCTATATTATAAATAAATACGGTTTTTAATTCTATGCCTGTTTCTAGCATATACTTATGTTTCTAAGATAAATTAATTTATATATTAAATTATTCATTATACATAATTTTTATGTAGTTAGTGTTCTTCATGTAAAGTTTAGTTTGCTAACAGCGCCCTCTCGGACATCCGTTTACATAAGTCCCTATATATTCCATGTATAAGCTTATTCATTTCTTTTCCGGTTTATCAAAATGGTAGGATAGTGCGAATGGTTTATTATATTTATAAAATCAATAGAGTTCTGATTTATTTATGTTAATCGATATAAATAAAATCCTTTGTTGAATTTGTAAAGTATCAAAGGAAGTTAACAAAAATTATTTCCTTTTCAGGGTATTGATATAAACCATAAACACGATAGGAAGGTTCGGCGTACAGAACCTAAATCGCAAGATGTCTATTTACGACTTCTCGTTAAAGTAAGTATTTTTACATGCGTTCCTAAATATCTTTTTTTCATTACGTCTTAAATTTTGTATCAATTATATTCTGTATTTTATTTAACAAAGTGAATGTCAAAATGAATTTAACCTACTATGTTGAAAGTGAATTGTTTATTACTGGTACTATATTATCATAAACACGTGAGATTTGAGACAGATGAATTCCTTTTGCGAACAGCACTCTGTATCAGTACTATTATAGACTGATTCAATTTTGTACGTTCGCTAGAAAATATTTAGTCAACTTTCCTATTCCATCTTTTTGTCTTGTGCAAAAGATACTTATACTAGTTGATACAATACTATTCAGAAGTTATATAGGAATTAGAATGCATAATTTGTGTTTATCATATTGAAATTTATTATTTTTATAATCATATTGTAATTTATAAAAAATTAATGTGACTTCTTATCAAAGTATTTGTTTATATAATGGAAATATGAAAGTATATGATTTTTTTTTTCTATAGCTTTATCGTTTCCTGGCTAGACGTACAAACTCTAAGTTTAATAAAATTGTCCTCAAGAGACTTTTTATGAGCAAGATACACCGTCCTCCAATATCTCTTGCACGAATAGTCAGATTTATGAAGAAGCCCGGACGAGAAAATGCTATTGCTGTAATTGTTGGTACTGTGACAGATGATGCTAGAATTTTTGAAATTCCTAAATTAACAGTAAGTGACTGCAATAATTTTTAGAATTTAATCTTTAATTTGTATAAAATGTTATTTTATGTTTGTTTAAATATTTTGTTAATCATTTGTGTGCCAATGCCCATTGATTTGAATAGCACAATTAGACCATGTGGCATTTAATGTATAATTTGTTAATTCTTTATAGGTATGTGCTTTACGTGTTACTGGAAGAGCTAGAGCTCGTATATTAAAAGCTGGAGGTGAATTGATTACTTTTGACCAATTAGCATTACGTGCACCTACTGGAAAACGAACAGTTTTAATGCAAGGTCGTCGTAAAGCCCGTGAAGCGGTAAAACACTTTGGACCTGCACCTGGTGTACCACATTCACATACAAAACCATTAGTACGCTCGAAAGGTCGAAAGTTTGAAAGAGCACGAGGTCGTAGGCGTAGCTGTGGTTATAAGAAATAAATTTTGTTTATTTGCCATCATTTATTATACCATACTGTTACATTGACTTGATATTTAGACATTTTGTCTACTTCTACATCCGTTTATATGACAAGTTATGATAGTTGGAAAATAAATGTTGGCTTCGTAAGATCTTTATATATTATTAATTCCTTCATTTTTTAAGAAACGTACAATTACAGCATACATATAAAATATAAATTTAGATGTACTACTTAGTAAGTAATACTTCATGTTTCATTTTTGTTTTCTTCTGGATTTTCTATTAACTCTTCCGGCTTTTCTTCATCGTCTGATTGTGTTTCTTCTGAAGCAGTAATATCCGGGAAATATAGCTTTAATTCTTCTATACCTTTCTCTGGATTTTCACTTACATGATAAGGTCCAATACCAGCAAATCCTAAAAATGCTTCGCATCCTACTTTTTTTACAACACATACAAATATCTCGTATCTAAAAATTAACATTGCAGTTTCATGTTTAATTATAAGTCCTAAATCTTTCTTAATATTTACCCTGTTCTTTCTCTTGTATTTAATTCAAAGTCCGTAATATTCTTTGCTATAAGTTTTGCTTCTGGTGGTTTATCAGATTCGAAAATTCCGAAGTTAACTACTTCATCTTCAAATTCTTGCAAAACCATTCTCAGCTCGTTTTTTCTTGTATAGTCATATTTGAATACTACTATAGGTACTTCCGCGGTTTTATCTTCGTACTAAAAATTATAATGTCTTATATGTGCTCCAAAATTTTAGAAATACTTAAATTTAGAACTTACCGGATATGTACTATTAGTATATGTGGGAAAAATTGTACGAAAAGTAATTGCTTTATTTCGACAGTTTGGTGGTGTCCATGCGATTGGAAAAATCTCATTTTCATTCGTTATGTAGGCAGGTCGATGTCGTAAGGCATAACTAAAGAAGAAAGTTAACAATTTAGATTAAGACCAAAGTTAACTTTCGAATTAAAATGCCAAATATTTTGTTATGAAACATATTGATTTGAAACAATAATTTTATTAAGCATTATGCAATCTAGATACACACCATTCTTCGTTAAGAATTGTTTCTGTATTGGGTAATTTCGGTTCTCCAAATAAAAGATTTAATAAATATTCATGAATATCGGTTTCTGGTTTTGTTTCACTAAATTTTAATCGCATAAACATACATTTTCCATCTAGGAGCAGTTGTTTAGCATTTAGTGGTAATACGTAATCAGACTGTGAAAATTGTTTACTTTAAAAAGACTGCTATTAAATAATTTTTGTCAGTGATATGTTGATATATTACTTCATTGAACATCGTGGATAGAATATCTTCATTGAGTCGTTTTCGTATTTCTTGTTCGACAGTGTAATTTCCTGGTAGTATTTCTTCAACTAATTCTACATACGGTGGACTTGATTTTTTATCTCTTTTATGACCTTCTTCATCTTTAAAAATCCATGGATAAAGTAAAAGGCATGTTTCTTTATTTAGTGAAATAGTCAGATGCAACATTTCAGCTTCATATCGTGCTACAGCTTCAGCCTCTGTATTAATATATATATACACAAAAAATTTGAGTTATTGAAATTATTGAAAGTTAGAACTTTTATTATGATATTACATTCATATTACCTAACAATGAATTTAAAAATAAAGCGTGCATAATGAAACATGGTGTGATTCCATGGATATTAGTTGTTTTCAAATTTAAAATGAATAAAAAAGTAATTCGGCTTGTAGTGCAAGATAATCATTATAGCAATATTTGTATCTTTTTATCTATTATAAATCTTGTAAAACCTTTTTGAGCCTTTTTTGCTGCTTCTTTAGCTATTCTAGCTTCTTCGATAATTTTTAATCGTTTTATTTCTTCCGGACTTCTTTCCGATACGTCTAAAGAAAACCTACATGTATACATGTTCTTTATTTAAATTGCATTTGAATAACATTAATTTTTAATAGTTATTTTTTTATTGAAAATTATGTACTCTACATACTCATGTTCCTCGCCATTTTGTACTCGTTGCAATTCCGTTGTTAACACTTTTAATAATTGTGGGCATTGAGCACCAAACATGAGATTTACCATTCGACCATTCTAGTAGAAATTTATTGCATTTATTGTTAATTTAAAATTTTAATTATTTATCAAACTTACGTGTATAAACATCCACGTTGGCTCGCTTTTCCCTTGAAAACGCTCCAAATCCGTGATGTAATCGCATTTTGCCTATTATTTAATTATATTTAATAGTAATTATTTATTTAAAACTAATAATTTTTTAGAAGTTAACTAGAAGTTACCGTTGCATAACTCAATGCATCTCCTCCAATTTCCATTTTAATTTTTTTAAGAGTGCTCACCATTCCTGTGCAAGGTCCGCTCCACTCTGAATATATGTCGACCACTGAAAGATTTATTTTAAATAGTCTTATTCTTGTTCAGTTTAGTTAACTAAATAGTTAATTTATACATTCCTATTAAACCTGATTTCGTAAGGAGTCTCTCCCATTCATCGTTATTGGAAATTTCAGTTTGTAATGCCGCCGGTGTTGTTTTTTTAGCCATTTTTCGTACAGATTTTAAACCACCCTATAAAAAATTAATCATTTTTCATTTTTCTAATCTTTATCAAATTCAATCTTAATCAAAGTATATGAACGTAACAGAATTTAAGAATTAATTATAATTTGAATTTAAGAAAAGAGCGTGTAAATAATAAAGTACCCTTTTTCGTCGCATCATATTTGAAGAGTATTAAGTTTTTGTTAGGCTTAAAATCTTTTTTTTTTTTTTTAATAACACCGAATTTAAGTCACTATTCCCTTGATGTATCTCGAACAAAGTGCAGAGAGAAACTGTAGTAACAGTATAGTTCGGAATCGGAGGACCATTGCCTTCCGATTTACTGCACGGGGACATCGGTGACATGAAGAACACGCAAACTCTACCGATTAAGTTTCTCGCTGCACAAATACACGCAGAGATAATTATAGAGACCTAAGGATTTCACGGTAAGTATTTCGCTATGCATTGCTATTGGCATGAAATATTAATCTTGGCCTGAATTCTGCAATTATAACTACATGTATTGGTGCTATACTTCATAAGATAGCACGATTTATTGAGCTGTCTGAATAGTTGCATGATAATCTCGCTACATAATAAAGCTTCTGTCAAAAGATATAAATTTAATCGTTGTACATATTAAATCGATTATGGGACAGCAGGAAGGCTATTTCTTTCCCTTCCATTTGAATAATGAGACTGTATAATATATTAGTTTCGTAGTGGAAATTCAGTTTTCTTTTCTTGTGATGTAGTAATATAATTTCAGTAAAGAATTGTAGTAGAGGGAAAATCTTTTTTCATTTATTTCTATTTATATTAATTAACGTATATCTTATTTAATAATAATCATTATAAAATTTATTTCATTTAAAAATCTATGTATATATATTAGTTTTTTCTTTCTATCTCTTTCGCTCTTCATTTGTGCTTTGTCATGTAATTATACATAATTTAAAATATTCGTGTCTGTTGGTTTTACTTTTATTTGCTACATAATGATATAATTATGAAATGGCACGCAACATAGACATGCCACGTAAATATCAAGAATATCTCGGAGTGCAATTAATATCTTGTGAATATACAAAAAGATATTTTTATTAATTTTTTGAAAACTGTAAGTATTATATTTTAATAGAATATAAGGTTTGTTTATAATTTCTTAATTAAAATTTTATTACGTTGTACCAATTTAAATACTATTACTCTATATTTCTAGATGGCGTTCGTATTAAGTGATACAATGAAGTATGAATACACTATTCTTTTAAAGCAAGTGGAACATCATCGTTAATATTTTAAAACATTACAGTGGAATTAAAAATGACTTAGAACATGTGATATGTGTATTTCATTTTGTAATATATAAATGTGTAGCAGCATAATATCTGAGGTGTGCTACAATACAACATGTACAGCGCTACCAACATAACAATAAGTAAAATTATTTATGTTTTATATTAATATATACTTAATTTATTTACTAAAATAATCCTTTTAATCTTTTAAATATTTTTAACTTCATCTTTATAATTTATATTTTTTTCCATTTCCTAAAATTAAGAAAGGTATTATAAGAAATTTTGCTTTTTATAATTAATGTAGGGTTATTTAGTTTTAGTTCAAATAATTTTTCTAAAATTGATTAGTGAACAATCGTCTATTTAGGCATTTTGCCTACGCATTTGTTGTCAACAATACGGATAAAATTAAATCCGAACGTTGATTATGCTATCTATATATATTTCAAATACGAGTACTAGAGTTCGTAGTTTACTTTTCTCTTTTTCTCCCCTCCTTTCCTACCATTTCCTTATCTGAATCAGCTGATTATTGTTTTCGTATTTCCAACGAAACAGACCATTATTGTAGTTATGATACGTGATACCTTTTAACGAACGATTTTGCGGAAGATCCTCGTCGGCGCGTCGAAACAAAAGACGGATTCGACGATCTCTCGCGATAAGGGACACCGTCGACGCGCTTGAATATTTCGAACAAAAAGATTGACGTTTCGCGGGCGGGGTGACATCACTATCGTTTTCTGGTTGTGTTGTGTCAGTCACTCGTAGAATGACGCAGTAGAAGGTCGTTTCAGAGATGGCGAGCTTCCCAGCATGAAATACAATTTTATGGCGAGGTAAATCAAAGATTCTGTTCTCTGTTAATTTAGGAATAATCGAAACGTAGATATTTATTCGTAAGATACAAAAAATGATACTAATGGTTGAAAGAGAAGCGATAACTTTGTTGTGAAAAACTGCCTTCTACCCCTTTGTTCGATGAAATGTTAGGGTCGCTGTTTTAATGTCGAAATGCTTATTTATTTCCTCCAAATCTTTATATTCGTATTATCGTAATGGAAATCATGAAAATTTTTATTTCATCGTCGTTTTGTTATTTGTGTTTGGTTTTTATTAATCGTCCCTGAGTGTACACGATGAACAGCTGTAGCTGGATTGTGTAATATTCTTTAACAGGCAAAATAGATCTCCCACTACTTCCTGTTACTCATCTTTGTATTATCAGATATACAGATATACATATTTCGTAAATTTCTTTCTTGTGAAAATAATGCTATATTAGAATTATTATTTATTTCGTCATTTTACTTGATTTTCATTTGCTATGTGTTGTATTGTTATTAATAGAAATACATATGTATGTTGCATATATTTGATATTTATGCAAATAAATGAGGAATATATAATGTGAATTCTTAATCTTATATTTTTGTTATACTTTTGTTATAACTCTATATTTCTTGTTATATTAACACATTGTAATAATTTTGACTTTAAATTTTTAATGAGAAGTTTTAATAACATAAAATATTGAGTTCATTAAAATTATAGTTCATTTAGTTATATTGTTTGAGAAAGTTATTAACAATTATTTGATCATTATATTTTTATAATAATAAATATAATAAATATAATATAACATTCTTTGTATATATATATTATATACATATAATTGTTATTGAATTATTAAATATTATAAATGATTATGTAACTATTATTTAACATATTAACATGTAATTACCATTATGTGTATTTATTTTTAGGTAAAAATATTCTGTTTGGAAAGAAAAAATGTCTGCAGACTCTCCAAGGCGTGGTGTGCATAAAGGAGTTCAAGTTGTATCACCTCAGCCAATAGTTGATCGTTCAATTATAGACAGTGTAGCAGGAATAATTAACGATATTGTTCCACAGGTTAGTTTATTAAGATATTTTTTTGGTGATTTTTTATTACTTTTATTATTTTATATTATTTTATATTAACATGTATATTATGTTGTTTAAATATAGGCTTATGCTGGCACACCAAATTCTGAAAATAAAGAATCTATATCATGGGCACGGTTTGAGTATGCAGACATTAATGATCCTGCCCTGTATCCAGATTACAATGAAGGCTCTAATACACCACCTTTATTATTGGTGCTTGGTTATACAACTGGAGTTCAGGTTTGGTCTTGTTTATTTGTTCTTTTGTTTTTTGCTCTTAAGTAGTTACATTACTTATGCATTAAAAGATTTTTGAGTTAAGATAATATTGCAATGTTTTTCGTGTTTCATACATCTAACTTGGGCAGTATTAAAGTTATGCAAATCTGTTTAAATTGAAATATGATTTAATTTAAGTGTATATATTAGATATTGTGAGTGTGGAGGATCTTTATAGATTTATCAAATCTCTAATTATAGAACATTGTTCTTATAGTAGCTTTAAAACTGTATCTGTGTTTATGAATGACTTGAATCTTATTTTATCTAGGAGGCATAATATGTAAACAAGCACATTCATTGTCAAAATAACAAGGTACATGTAGTTTGCAGAGATAATAATATGATATTTGAAATTTGATCATATAAAAGAATTTAAAATTTTTAGAAAACTCATATAATTACCATAGAGTACAATGTTGCATCTTATGTTGTAATGTTGCATTAAAAATCATATTGTAATATGAAGGTAATAAATTTCATTTTATATAGGTATGGTTGATAGCAGCTACAGGCGAAGCTACTGAAGTATTGTCATGGCGACAAGGAATAGTTCGTACTCTGAGAATTTTACCAAATCCAAAGACTGATGATGAACATGCTGATTTGTTTGAGCTGAAACGGCCAATGGTAGCAATATGTGATTCAGCTGGACCTGGACCACAATTTTGCAACATTAGTTTCATTTCGCTAAAAACTGGGGAACAAGCTAAAAGCATAAAATTTAAAAATCCTGTTTGTGACATTTTGGCAAATAAACGATCCATAGTAGTGACATTTTTAGAAAAGATCGCAGTGTTCGATGCTCGAACATTGGAAGATGTATTAACAGTTACAACGTGTTATGCCAGTCCCGGTCCAAATCCAAATCCTGTTGCCTTAGGCACAAGATGGCTTGCTTATAGGTAAGAATCTTTATAGCTACAAGATTAAATAATTAAATTAATTAATTTTAATAATTATTTAAAATAAATTTTTCTGATATTCTTTTTTCATTTTTATGACAAAAAATATTTTTAGTGAAAAGAAATTATTACCAGCAAAAAGAAGCAGTGGTGGTTGCGAAGGTGAAGGAGTACAAAGTTATACAGCAACTGTTCTTTACGCGGCAAAATCTTTAGGAAAAGGATTGCGTGGTTTGGGAGAAACCGTCGCATCCAGTTTAACTGGCAATTCAGTATCACCAATAGTCATTAATAATACAGGCAGTGATGTAACTCAACCAGGAGTTATTACGATATTAGATCTGCAAGCAGCAAAAGAGGAGAAAGAATTAGATGATGCGAACATAGAGACTGTCATTGCTCATTTTACTGCCCATAGTGATGCAATCGTTGCCATGACTTTTGATTTAAGCGGTGCGTTGCTAATGACCGCTGACAAAAGGGGGCATGATTTTCATATATTTAGAATTCAGCCACATCCAGGTGGTCCCACTTTGGCAGCAGTACATCATTTGTATATTTTACATCGTGGAGATACTACTGCGAAAGTGCAGGTATGTGTACTTTTAAAAATTTTAATTAGGTTTTAATATCTATACTTTTAAAAGTTTATGCATCTTAAGAATTCATATCTTATTACAATAGGATATGGTTTTTTCGAGCGATACTCGTTGGGCCGCAATTTCAACTGTACGGGGCACTACTCATGTTTTCCCCGTTGCACCATACGGTGGTCCGGTAGGAATACGAACTCATTCCACACCTCATGTTGTAAATAGACTTTCGAGATTTCATAGAAGTGCAGGTTTAATGGATGACGGCACCAGATCTCATTCTCCTGTATCTCATACAGAGTTGCCTTTATCATTATATCCATATTCTAATCCAAGACTTCCTCCGTATCCTCATCCGACTGTACTACATCCTTTGGCACAGATACGACAACCATCTTCGTTAAATCACATAAACAGTCAAACTCAACAGAGGTAATTATTACTTAGCAAAAAATAATAAATAAATAAATTGTAGCGTTTCATAAACTTATATTATTTCTTACGTTATATAGTAGACCACAACAACGACAACGATTGCACTCAGATGATAGTGGAACATTACCATTAAAAATATGTGCTTGCTTTGCACCTCCAAGAGCTTGGATGTATGCACAAAGAGAATCTACTGCAAAAGTGATGAAAAGAGCAATTGATTCTTTATTCATCATGGCATGTCATGGAAATATGATACAATATGATTTAGATCCCAAACCAGCCGCAGGTGAATGAAATATTAATTGAAATTAAGATATTACTAGTAGCAGTAGTGATAATTCTTTATTGGTTACTTGTTGGATATAAATAATATTGCCGTTGCACGTTTTTCTCTCCAAAATATTAAATATTATTATTTACATTTAATACATTTAGGTATACCAAAGGAAAAAGTATGTGACGATACGATGATAGAATTAGAAGTTGAAGCCAAAGGTCAATGGCCTCTTCTAAGATCTCCGAATTCAATAGAAATTGTGCCACCTTTGCCAACATCTAGCTCTTTACTAAATGTCAATAGTGTGCCGAAAGACATTCAAGACAATGACTTAGCAGAAGATCGTTGGTTAAGTCAAGTAGAAATTGTAACACATGCTGGACCACATAGACGACTTTGGATGGGACCTCAGTTTGTATTTAAAACCTATAATGCAACCAGCGGGTTAGTTATAAAGATACATAACACGTAACGTTATTTTTAACATTGTAACATTATTATAATAAAATTTTACCAATGTAGGGCACCTGTAAATCTCGTTGAAGCAGAGGCTGTTGAAATCGGAGTGATTGGTGGATCTCGTCCTGCGAGATCAAATCCGGTTAATATGCCACATGCTGCATCCAGATCATTGGTACCTGTGGTTATCGATGGATCGGGAAGTAAGTTTACAAAAATAAATATTATGTTAGCATAAGTATGATCTACATAATTAGAATTACATACATGTTCAATGTATTCCTACTCCACATTAAAGTAAAGTGGATTTTTTTCTTTATTTAGGTAGTTATGAGCAATCACCAAGATTCATGGAGGCGTATGGTGACCCTCTAGACAGTGAAAACGCTACTGGCGGTGAAAACCAGTTGAGAGAAGATCTGGCCGAAGCAATGCTGGAGACGTCAATTGCACCACACCGTGCTCCTGGTAAGTAATCATAGAACGTGTGGTGCTTTGCTTTGAAGTAGATGAGTATAAATCCCGATATATCCCATTTGTCGATATTTCATAAAATTTGTATACATCGTGGTAATGAGTAAGAATAATAAAAGCATTTTGTATAATTTATTGAAACTTGTATTTTCGAGCGCCTAATACGTGATTTAATACATTTTCAAATTTGTGACAATCATGAAGATTTATAATTGTAAATGCAGTGAAGTTAATCGCAACGCGATTAAATTATTTTTACCTTTCTCAACGATCATTACAGAATTGCAATTATATTTACATGGGAACAATTGCAAATCGCAAAATTTAAATCATGTTTTATCTTATTCTAGAAGTTTGTATTAATTCAAATTTGTGAAAGTATCTAGAAAATTTTTGCAAACATGTATTTTTAAATATAGATACTCGTGCTTTTTGCATTTGGTGACGGATGATTGTTAGGTGATAAGTTTATGTGGATACAGAACTGGCCAGAGGCAGGTATCTTCGTTCCCCCCTCCCCTTTATTGATATTACATCTAATCACTAACAACGATATATTTTATCAACGTCTACCCTTTAAGTCGAGGTAAACAGTTGAAAGGCTGCGAGCAGTCTTACTAACCCTGTAAGAATCTTTTCCTTTCTGAAGGTCCAATGAATATATATATATAAAAGAAGATATATGTAGGTTGAAACCAACCGTCCTCAATTGTTCTCTTTACAACATACCGTTCAATCTTGACACGTATAATGTGACGTAAAGTGTTTTTGTGGTGTGCAGTGTGACGACTCGAATCGATTATATATATATATATATCAGCTTTATATTAGAAGTCACGAATAATTATTCTTTTATTTTCTCTTTTTCTCTCTTTATTCCTCACGTACCCCGTTATCGTAACTCTGTACTCCCTCATGATGCAACATTTGAATTAGTATTTTCTTTTTACTTTCTCCATTGTCGAGCCGTATCGAGAACAATAACATCTCATACCTCAGGCGATATATCTCATTAAAGACCAAAACAGAAAATTAAACAAGGGAGATATTGTGACTCGATATTGATACCTGCCAACGGCTTTTTCTGTTACTAGGGAGGCGATCGGTATTTGAGAGGGTGGGTCAACCGGTAACTAAAGTCGTCAACCCTCTGGGCACCGTGATTACTGTATCGGCCGATGAGGAGGACATTAACTCCAGTCAGGAGTTCGATTTCGCCGAGGAGAACTACATGCCGGAACCACCTAGAAGCGTGTGCGCCGAAGAGGGTCCGGCTTCTCTCGGTGATCTCGAGCCAGAGAGCCAAACACTGCGTGACCTCACCGAAATTTGCGCGGAAATGCGCTCAGCTAGCGAGCCTGCGATCGATAGCGTGCCGGACGAAAATATCTGTGAGGTGAAGGAGAGAAAAGCGCTGTGCGTCGAGATCGCTTCGATCACGAACCCTGGTAACTCAACCATCGATTTTGAAAAGGAAGAAGCTTTCCGCGATGTGCCAACTAGCTTGAGTCTGTGCGTGGAACAGGGTGAGATTCCTAGCAGCCCTATGACCCAGGCGAAGGAAGCTGCTTGGTACAAAAAAATTGATAAAAGGGAAGACAAAGGAGCCCAGGAAAGAAATGTATCCGAGGAGGCAGAGTATGTAGTTAACTGCGACGAGGAGAGTATCGTACTAATGGAAAATAAAGCAGCTCATGGACGGAAAAGTACGTCGGTACATTGTAAAACTGACAATAAAAAAGCTTGCGAGTTTGATAGGGCCCCGAGAAAATCAGGAAAGAACGGGTCCTCTGCTTGCTCTAGTAAACGAGCCGAGACTAAAACTCCTGCTAAGAAATACATTTTGAAAGAGCACGAAGACAGTATCGTCATCGAGGACACTACTTGCGACGATTCTAAATATGATTGCAAGAAAAAAGGTTGCGAAAGAAACGTGGCCGAAGATACAAAAAATAAGAATACCGAAACTAGAAGCGGAGAATCTTCAACAAAAGAAACTGGAAGGGGTAAAAACAGAACAAAATTCTCCACGGTTCAGGATTGCAGAGAAATAAAAGCTGAACTTTTTACGGAAGGTAAATGTTCAACGAAGCAGATAGAGATCATAGAAATGGATACATTAATCGAAGAAGCTGACAAGAAAGAAGACTTCAAATCGATTATCAGCGTCGATGTATTAACTAAAGAGACAGATAAATATAAATCACCACCATCAGACTCGACCGACGATTTCAGTTCCAGCGAATATCACATCATTGATGCACCTTGCTGCAGCAAAGATGGCACATCGATTCAGTCTGATGAAGACATCGAGCATATTCAAAGCTCTGAAATCACTCAATTACAGCAGGTTGAATGCATCGACAGCGATAAATGCACCGACGTGATAAGTTGCGCTGGTTCTTCGCCCATTTTGCAGAGGAAGAATAGCAAGAACACAATATCTGACGACGATATTGAATACATACATACTTCTGAACTAGTGGATACACCTGACAAAATTTGCAGAGAAGAAACGAAAGAATCGGCTAAAAGCAAACGAACGTTCTCTGACGACGATATGGAACACATCCAGCATTCAGACATCTACGATACTTCATCCGAAAGAGCTAAAGAAGTGCATGACAGAAGTACAAAGAGATCTCAGGAAACTTCAGCCGAACAAACGTCGAAATCTAAGAATGCTAAGAAAACGAAGGACATCGTCGTTATCGAGGGCGACACATCGGCTGCTGACGTGACTGTGATCTTTAAACCAGTCGATACTTGGAAGGGTAAGAGTATAGAGAGAAAGGAGGAACTAGAAGAATTTACCACGAAAGACATACCGGCTAGTGAAAATCCTAGTCCGCTAAGAAAAGCTAAGATTCGGTTTGCTAAAATACCTCCTTCAAATGTCGCGTCCAAACGGCCGCAAGCAGATATTGAGATAATTGACATCGACGCGATGCAGAAAGCCGAGATGGAAGTACTGACCGACGCCGCGTCCATTTCAGAATGCAAAATTCTTGCTGGGTCTGAAGTGTGTGGTACTCGCACGAAAAAGTCTCGGAAGAGTAAGAGAACCAACAACGAAAGCAACGTGCAAAGCTGCGAAGCTTCGGTCGAGCCTGCAGAACATGTCGAAGAACTTTCAAAGGAATCGAACTCTCAGGAGCCGGCACCGGAGTTTTCTTGGAGCGCCGTGGTAAAGAAGAAGAGCGGTTCTCCCGTGGCCGCGGAAACTCGAACAGATGACGACAAAGAGAATTACAAATCGAAACGGTCGTTCGAGGCTGTCGGAGGATCTTCCTCGTGCACACCTATCTTGGAGAAAATAGAGTCTTTGAAGAAAAAAATACACGAGTCTTCGTTGAGGAAGAACGTGGACAAAAAGAGTTCGAGTTCTCAGGTGATAGATAAGCTTCGAGAGGCTGTTTTAGAATTATACCCTGAAGAGTCTTCCGTTCAGACAACAGAACTTTCTTGGAGTTCCATCGTCAAGAAGAAGAACACCTGCTCTATCGAGGGTGAGACAAGAAGGGAACCTGACCTCGATCCGATAGTAGAGGAAATGATTAATGACGAAAGGAAAACTTACCGAAAATACGAATCCTCGATTCGCTCCTCGATGGTGGATCAATTGAAAGAAGCTGTCACAGAAGCAACTGTGGGAGAATCGTCTGTTCAGGCGACAGGAGGATCTTGGAGTTCTATTGTTAAGAAAAGACCTGTTTCTTCCACAGGAAGCGAATCGATTACGCGAAAGGAAACTGTCGAGCGGAAAACTCACAGAAAGCTGGATCTACTGACCGATTCTACGACCGATGATTACAAGACTACGGGTTCATCCGCGGATAAAAGCATGTCGTCCGAGAAATCCTTGAAGTTAGAAACTGTAAGCGAGATCGACGAAAAAGTTTCGATCGATTCGAAGAACTGGAACGTTGGTGGACCGCTGGTGGATTCAACGTTTACGAAAGAAGATTCCTCGGAGCTTGAGCGAGACACCGAGCCCGAGAAAAGGAGCGACTCGGAGCAGGAGATTGTGCCAGAACGTTCGAGCTCTTCGGACGAGTTGAACGCGAACGTGGTGTTTACAAACGCCGAAGGAGAATATTCTGGTCGCGAGACGACCGAGAAGAGTGCGACGAATGGCTCGAACTCCTCGGTCTGCGCCACGTCCAAAAAAGGCAACAGGTCGAAGAAAAAAAAACGCAGATGAGTAGAGGACTGCATGGATGTACCTAGGGCCAGCCTTGCCCTTTACATACTCCTGATGCAAGTAACCGGGGTCGATTAGCAGAAGTATAAGCCGAGAACAATTTGTGTTCTCGATCTTTATTCTAACCAAAAGCATGGTTTCTTGAAAAAAAAAAAAAAAAAAATTATCCTAGGAAATATGTGTTATATAATCCATAATCCATTAGGGGAGCAAGCTTCAGCTCCGTTTCTCATCGAGCGACGAGTGTCTGAAATCTTGTCAGATTTGGTATTTTTGAGAATATTTTCTAAAAAAGAAAAAACAAAAAAAGAGACGTTGATTTATTAAAAACACATTAAAAAAGAATCAGCACAAAAGAACATTTTTGGTGATATTCTCGATGAAATTTCCTATAGATAATTAAAAGGGCAAGGCTGTAACTAGTGGATGTACGTCCGCTAACATATTCGAATCGAATGTGTGAATATACAATGGGAAACAACATACATAGACACATGATACATATTTAGATTTTTTCGAAAGGAAATCTCTATATATTCAAGGTGTGTCGGGTAATTGAAACGGATTATATGTCGAATTTGATAACAGATAAAAAAGAGGCATCAGAGGGGAAAGTTGAACATTATAACGAATCATTAATGGAATGGTGCACTCCAAAAATGCAAATGTATTTGCACGATAAAAAAAAAAGGAAAATAGATATTACCATACTTAAGTTTAACTTTTCTCTCAATCTTTTACCAAATTCGTGATATAAGTGTGCCCTGTGACGTATCCTGTATATATAGATATTTAAAAGAAAATCAAAAAGAACAAGAAAATGAGAAAAAAAAAATATATGATGAAACACCGTCTGTAGTTCGAACAGTTTTATAGCGATTTCTGTTTCGACTGCGTTACATTGTCAAATGAGAATTCGCTGTACGCTATCCGTGCGATGCATACAATGCTCTAGCTTTTTATTACGATCGACGAAATTTAAAGGACGGATCGATTCATGACCATTCACCGACAATTTAAACACTGCGTTTAGCGATTATTCTTCGTTTTGTTTCATTCACGGTTACGACAGAGATTATTAAAAGATATTCACGTTATTAGTTCCAAGAATCTTTTTTTTTTGCAAGTGTAAAAAAAAAAAAATCCAAATGGGAAAAGAAAATAGAAAATGACAAAATTTTATTATTCTTTGTTGCCAACGCGATGAATGAATTTATTTGATTTGGCATGTGCGGCACTAGCATAATGCACAAAAGTATCTACAGTAGTGCATTCACAGTACAGTAGTATAATAGTATCAGTTATACGAAACTTTGAAATTTCTTTAGCACTGTTGATGACAGACGAGTTTCGTGATTATACTGAAAAAATTGGAGATCAATACAAAAATGTATATAAAAGTTACAATACATTTGTTACAAACATACATTTAAGTAAATATGCAGTATGAAATTATACGGGATTTTGGAACGTATAATCAATGCTAAAGATGATCTCAATAAATATTATAGCTTGTTAATATAATGAATAGTTGACTGTTCAAATACTTTGATTCAAATTTTATCAATATAGCCACGATAGTCGTATCTCGTTATAGTATTACTGAAATTTCAAAATATGTTGTATAACACACATAATTTATCTAGAAAAAGTTTCCATAAGTGTTCAAATACCGTAGCCAAAAGAACGAAAAAGTGTATTCTAAAATGCAAATCGTATTGACCTTAATTCCGTTCATAAATTAGCGAGCATACTCTTTAACTCTTTAACACATACTGTATATATTCAATATATTGCGTGTGAAAGAAAATAAGAAAGAAGTCTACTGTTTAGAAAAAAAGAAAGAAAAGAAAAGAAAAAAGGTACTGGGAACTAATAGCACGAACATTACATATATACATGATGAACTATTCAGAAGACTTATTGATCAACTCCATCGATTAAAAATTAGAGAAAAGTGATGATGTTACCAAGCACTGTTTTTTAAATTTGTTCTAGAATTTACTATTATTTATGACATATTCTTGTGATAAGTGGGAGCAAGTCGTTTGTTTCATGAGAATTAAACGTTAATTATATATTTGAAATTACTATAATAATAAAAATAAATAACGAAAGTAACATAATGATAAATTTAAAATTAGTACATTAATTAAAAGATCTAATAATCAATTATGATATAGCGAAATTAAAAAATTAGCAAAAAGTGTAGTTGATCAGCCAGACTTCTAAAAGACGCGATATATATATATAAAACACATGTTTCGGTTCAGCACAAACCTAAATATTTGCGATCGTCTCCGTACAAAAATGTGATCCGATCAAGATATTTGTCTTTTTTATATCCGCCGTCGAGACATGCTTTCCATGAAAGCCATCCGTACTATGATTTCACAGGATCTAGAGGAAATTCGTTTGAGAAATTCCACGGTTATCGATCGATCGCGTTTGATGAATGCAAATTTTTATTTGCATCTTTAGTTGCGTTCCGGGCATTTTAACAGTTCTCTGTACATCGCGAAGCATAATATCTATTTCTAATATGGTAGAAGAAGATCGTGCTTCGTTGAGTAATGTACAATTATTTTTCGTTATTGTCGATCGTCATGTATCGTATTCCGACTGAGAATGTGGTCGCTGGTAGATGTTTGTAAACACGTTTTTTCTTTTCTCTGAACGAAATGAATTCGTAAGTCAAAGGCACGATCGAAGGTCGAAATAAGGTCGTATTACACAAAATGTAGCTAAATTGTGTTACGTTGCGTTGTATATATAACGCGTATGTATATAATATAAACATTCGACTATTTTGCGAGAAAATTTGCTTCTGAATACGAAAGATTTTAATTGATTTCTGATGCAAATCGCGCAAGACGGGTGTACTTTATCGTAAAAAAAAATCATCGACTTCGTAATTTATATAAATTCGTAATTTATATAATGATTGGGACATTTGTCGTGTAATATCGATGTGCATAAAGACCGAGCGTAATTCTTGCATTGTACACGAGCAAGAGCTTTCAAAAGGAAAACGGGATTCTGCCTGTATGATTATACCGATTCAGAGTCTCGGTTTCGGATATGCTAGATCATTTCTTCATTTTCGTATCCTTTATTCGGATGCGCACGCTCTTGGTCTTGTTCGAAAGCTTGCGAGTTTCTAATACTTAAATATCCTTAAATAGTTTCCGTTTATTAAGAACAGTGCAACAAATGAATTCAACCCGTTGATTACGATGCAACGGATAATCATCGAGATTACCACGTTTCATTGTGTGTTAGATCTCTCAGTGGCTCTAGAAACTTGTCGAAATTGTAAATACTCTTTAACTCGATAATCTTGATACAATCTCTTACCTCGACATCTTTTCGATACAATTTCTTCGTAGCGGTTAGATCACACGAACGACAAAATAGCATATATATATTTTTGACACGTTTCGTCACGGATAATCACCCACATGTTTGGAAACCGTAACCGGCGAATTAGACGTTATTAAGTAACTTTCGAAAGAAAAGAAAAAGAAAAAAAAAGAAAAAAAAGAGAAAAGAAGAAAAAAAAAGAATTCCTGAAAGAGCCAAAGATGGGTTGTGATCGATTAATTGCATAAACGAAAACACTGGCAGTGTGAGAGGGGGGTGGGTCTGTAGTTTCATTCTCAGCACCGTAATGATCTAAATGATGCGAGTAATTTTCACGAGTAATACCTTGTGCCGCAGAGTTGTCCGTTTAGTTTCACGGAGAAGCTGTTAGTGAATCGTGAATCCTTAATGAAGATATCTTAGAACACTTTTAATAGACGCACTGTACATTGTATTATGCGAGTTGAGGAACATGGTTATTAATTACTTTTATATTTTATTTAATACGTTTCACGGAGATGAGATTTTCGTATTGTGCAAGGCCTGACGGTATTACGGAGAGTGATTCTGTATGAAAAAGAGGCTTTATTTTCGAAAAAAATTGACCTCAAAGACTAGATCGTAAAGATCTAGTATATGTCTGACTATGTAATTTCATTTCTAGACAGTCTGATGAAATTACAAATGTGTACATACAATTAAAAGGTACGATTGTCTGAGAAAATTTTATTCCATTTTCTTGACTTAAATTTTTCATGCAGAATTATCACTTTCCGCTTATATTAACAGTTAAAGAAGATCAGGAAATCTTCGACGAAGATCTTCAACTCCATTAGTTCAATTCTCTTCTGTAATTTGTAGAGATCGTTATATATTCTATTTATGTGTTTTCGTTCAGAGAGCTTGATGAAAATCTCTGACTTTTTCCCTTCTTTTTCTGTCCTACATTTCTGTTTCTTTCTTTTGCTTCTGATCGAACACGTTGATCATCGATCGATTGAAACCACTCTCGTGTTTAATAGAGAATCATGTGTCGAGCAACAAATCCATTGTTCGTTTATATAGATATAAATATATATATATATACATATATAACTTCTAACTCGTTAGAGTTTGTTGTTAGTACAAATGGAAAACGATGAGATCTTTTCGATCGAACGAACAAGATCTCTTTTTCGGGGATTTAGCCGTGAGATTTAGTACAAAGCTTCTAATCGTCGCTTTCGTCCTCGTAAATGCTGTGATTATGTTTCGTGATTCACTGTGTCTATTCATTGCTACGTCGAGGGAAACGAGTAGTCTAGTATCATACTTTTGCTCTTTCTTTATTGTCTTCTTTGTTCTTCACGTTGAAACAACGAACAAATATGTTGAGAGGCAGGTGCAATGCTTTTGACGTTCTTCGAGTTTATTTTTAACGACGATTCCTTTAGTTCTACTGGCGGGAAGAATTTTCTTTACAAGTTTAGTTTAGTAGAAACGATCGAATGTATTTATTGGGATGGAGCAATTACTTGCAGTAATTTATAATAATTATTTATCACGTGTACGCAATTGGTGTATTGTTGCGATGCATTGCTGGTGTGATGCATGAGTTATCTTTGTTTCCTTCTTGTTTCGTTTCTCTTC